GTTGGACGCAATCGTTGCGGTCATGGGGCTTTGCCATTGTAGACGTGCATATGAAGTGACAGTGGTTTGTGGAGCGTTTTTCTTGTCATTTAGCGAGCTGTCGGCGTCCAAAAACGACATGCCTGTCGGAACCAGAATATATATACGTATATTATTCAAAAACGAGAGATAAATAAAAAATAGGGCCGTTTAGAGATGTTCAATTAAATAGCTATAATATATATAGGTACATCTGATATTCTGATGACATTGCCGTGCACATAATATGCTATATGATTGGATTATAAATTTGTAGATGTGTGTGTGTGTTTAAAGACGATATACGACGAATGCGATGGTTTTTTTTTTTTTTTTAATTTTGTTATAGGTGGAAAGGTTGCCTGCGGCAGTCGCTATGCCTGGCTGCTCGTCGTAGCCAATCGTGATAAAATGGTATGGTGATGGGTAGAAGGGGTTCAAGTTGGAAGGATTGTGATTTAAAATGTGAAAAACGTAATTCACCCACCTCTAACCGTTTTAAATTTATTGGATACCGTGTCCGCTCGAGCGGAATACCGTTGTCTGTCCGCGGCCCGGCCCAGGCTGCGGGACGCGAATGTTTCCTGTTCGGGTTCCGAAAGCGATATACTGAACCGTTGCACGTCCCCCGAACTCGGCGTGCAAACTATGTCCACGCCGTTCTGAAATTCTACGGCAGCCAACAGCAATTTGTCCGCCCATGACCACCCTGTGCAATTTTACAAAAAAGTCTTAAAAATGTTTTAAATTTAACACTCAAGATAGTACTGAATTAAATAACTATGATTACACAGTAAATAATTCATAACCACAACAATATACACTCGATTACAATTTTATGCAACTGACAACTTTAAGGTTAGAGATAAATAATTATATTATTACCTTTTTATTATTATTATTATATTAAAGGAAATTCTAACTATAAGTACTTAGTTGTGTTAGCAGAGCCATATTTTGAATTTTGCAACCCGGATCACTTAAAAAATAATCACCCTTATTTTAGAGAGTTGATATAGGGTTACCATATTTTATTTTGCTTAAACCAGAACAAGCATTATTTGCATATTTGTATGTATTAATGAAAAAAATGCTAATGCTTTTCAGTTTTCCACAGTCAACGGACTATTTTTATTATTCAATTTTTTCGTAACTGAAATATCATACACATTTTGACAAATTTACAAGAGTCAGTACTTTATATTTTTAAATTAAAAACTAATTATGTTCCAAATCAGAATGAGTAACCGAAAAAGTTATCAAGTATCGATAAGTGATAACAACCATTGTGATTACGGACAATTGGAACGAAAAAACAATGATCGTATTCATCATTTGTTAATAATAGCTACCGGTTTATCACTAAGCTGGAAAGATAACTTTAATGTAGAAATTTCTATCAATCGAGTAATAAACTTGTTTATTTAATTATTTATTAAATAATATTGTTTTATTTTACAGAAATGTTCAATAAAATAAAAATAAAAAAATACGAATATAATAATTAATAATACTCATAATTTAAATTTAAATCTGAGACAATTAACCACTTCGAAACACTTATCAGGGCACCAGGATACTGTATTCAAATAAAATTAAACGGAACTTAATGAAACTCAATAATTCGGTTAAATGAAAACAAATTTTGATAGAATAAGACCTTGTATTTTATATAACTTGTACCTATATAAAATATAATAATTAGGACAGATACTTGTATAGTGTTTCATCATTTATATTGTTTGGTAAAAACAATTTCTAGTTTATACTGAAATGTGTTTCATTACCTAACAATTTTGTATGTACAGATTTTTTTTTTGCATATTGTTTTCAAAAAATTTTTTTTTATACATGAGTATACAGCTGTACTGAAGTATTATTTTTATAACTCGTGTAAATCACCAACTACCAATTAGTGAATAATATTTTTTTAAGATTTTATAAACATGCATATTTATGCTGATGAGCAGACGTACTAATAACTTAAATAACCCATTTGTTATACAAGATAGTATAAAATTTCGATGACAATTTTGAAAAGTATATGAACTTGTTTTATATTCATAAAAAAAAAAAAAATAAGTATTAAAATCATCGAGTTGATTTGTATTGAATAGATTTAAACAAGGCTAAGGGTACTAACAAATTTGAGGTAAAAAAGGTAGCTACAATATATTGAGAAAAAAAAGTTTTAAAGTTTCTAACTTGGCGACCTTCTAAACACTGACCTGTGCAATATTTAAACTTATAATATATTATTTTTTCAATGTATTTATTTAAAAATTATTTAAATACATTTTTAAATTTATTATTTCTGTTCATATATTGTGATTTTTATGCCATATGTTTTTTGCATA